TTTTATGTTATAAATTGGTAAGGAGAAAAACACATATAACACCAAAAAAAATAATAATAAATAAATCTTAAAATACTAGCTAGGTGATCATTTTATATTCAAAAAATACTAAATATTATGCTAGAATGAAAACAAATAGAATTTTTATATATTCAAACTTTATAATTTTGTTCCTTGTATTTAGGTTTGTGACTAGACAATTTGTTGTGTCTTGGCTATATATACTTGGCTAATAGTATTCAATAAGACATACTAGAATTTCTCTCGATCTTATACTCTTTTATGGTATCAGAGCTTTAATTTTTTTTCTCCTCCTCATAATCAGCCACTATGACATCAAAAGAGCAAACAACTCCTCTGCTACAGCAATCCCACTCACAGCACCAATGATCCACATATCAATGGTCCATATAACACCCAAATCGGCATTAACATTGCTGCTCAAGCCCCTGTCAAACTTACTTCTCATGACTATATCTCCTAGAAATTACAATTTCAAAATCTTTTTATTAGTTATGATCTCTTTGGATATGTTGATAGATCAAAACCATGCCCTCCTACAACTATCACTCAGAATGTATCTGCGATACAGAATCTAGACTACACAATATGGATTTGACACGATCAGCTTATTCTCAATGCAATAGTTAGTTTCCTTTCTTCTATAATCATTGTCTGCATTGCTCGAGCTAAAACTTTACAGGAAGCTTGGTCTACACTAACCAACACTTATGCCAAGCCTACTCATGGACTGATCAAGCACGTGTAAAATCAACTAAAAACTCTAACCAATGGCTCACAAACTGTGACTAAATTTCTAAAGATAATTAAAACTCAAGAAGATGAACTCGCAATCCTTGAAGTGCCACTTGATGATGAAGATTTAACTGAGAAAATATTGGTAACCGTGGTGAGAATTACAAAGAAACTGTTCGTCCAATCCAATTGAATTTGATGAACTGCATGAAAGGCTATTGAGTTTTGAAGCATCTCTGCAAGGTAAAAAATCTGATATACACTAATTTCTTGCCTCTGCTAATCCAACAAGTCGAACCTCTAATTGTTCACACTTCAACACCGGCTAGAAACCTTCATCAAACAATGGCAACAACAACAATGGATGGTGCCCATCACCTGCCTATGGTGCTCGCCCTCCTGCACCAAACACTATTGGTACCAACACTGGTATCCGGCCTTTTCCACGTCCATACCTTGGCTATTGTCAAATTTGCAGAATCTAGGGACACACTGCCAAACGTTGTCCTTCATTTCGATTAGTCCAAATTGCACAATGCCACAACACAAATATAGCAGCAACACAATCTTCAAATTGGAAACCAAGAGCTCATTTTGTTACAACAATTCCAACACTTCAGTGTCGCTTCTAGACAGTGGAGCTTCCCACTATGTCACTTTTGACTTGATCAATCTATCCATTTACTCTTCGTGTACAGATTTCGATGATATAATGATTGGAAATGGCACGGGTCTTCCTATCACTCACACGGGTTTCACCTCTCTCAAAACTCCTACTGCTAAATTTTCCCAAAACAATGTTATGTGTGTGCCAACATGAAAAAAAAGAAGAAAAACTTGATAACTATTTCACAATTTCGCAATTCCAACAATGTTTCCATTGAATTCTTACCCTCTTCCTTTTTGGTAAAGTAACTTAGTACGATAACAACACTTTTGAAGGGTCCAACTAAAAATGGTGTATATGAGTGGTTAGACTCCTCTCCTTGTTTGCACTTTCTAGTGCAAAGACGACATCGTCCAAGTGGCATTTGTTGGGTATTCTCTCTTAGTGAGGGAGCCCATTTACTAGTAAGTAGGCCTTTCACTGGGCCCAAAAACCAATTGAATATAGCCAAGGAAGAGACCACACCATTCACACAACATATACAACAGATAGACAGAAAGAAAAATGAGAGATAGAGAAAGCTAACTTCCGGTTCTTCTTGCCAACGATCGGAGGTCCATTTGTGGTTCGATTAAAGTGAAATTTTAGTATGTTGTTCCTGGAGAAGAGGGCTACGTTTTGACCAGAGCTAATCGTTCAGATTCTTCTTTGTTTATCTAGGCTTTGCACACTCTTCTGTGAGATTTTTCTTATTATAGTATGCGTTTATCTTTATGATGATGTTGGTATTGATATCCAAGAACTATATGTGTTCTTGATATATTGGTAGCCTCTGGAGTATTCTAGAGAGGGTTCATTATGTATCCCATTATTTTCATAGTGGAAGGCTTTTACTGGATTAGGTCCCAGGGTTTTTCCCTTCGCAGAGTTTTCCTCATTAACAAATTTCGGTATTCAATTTATATTCCTGCTAGTGTGTGTGACTTTTTTGGATTTGATTAATATTGTTGTTTTTTTAATTCTTGCACATTGAGGGATTCAAGTTGTTTCCTCTGCTTGTTGTTGATACATATTGGCTCAATCCCCAACAAAGTGGTATCAGAGCTATTTGGTTGAATCTTTGTGTCTGTGGTGAGAATTAAAATGGAGAATTCGGCTAGTGGCATGATTAAATTCACATCTTATAACTATTCTATTTGAAAGACGAGAATGGAGGATATCCTATATTGCAAGACTTGTTTGAACCCATTGAGTGGAATGGCAAGAAATTCAATTCCAAACTGATGAGGGTTGGAAGAAGTTTAACAGAAAGGCCGTTTGACATATTAGGCAGTGGGTTGATCAGAGTGTCATCCATCATATAGCCAAGGAAGTAGATGCATACAGTCTATAGTAGAAATTAGAAGGTCTCTATGAAAGGAAGACTGCACAGAACAAGGCCTTTGTCATCAGAAGACTTGTAAACNCCAGAAGAAAGGAGCAGGGTACTTTTCTAATTGTGAAGCACTCATTATAGAAAGAAGGGGGATAAACCAAAGTAGAAAACCTCGTGGTGATGATAGTCGTGACAAGTCCAAAGGAAAATGGAAGTCAGGAAATGGGATAAAATGCTATCACTGTGGCAAGTTAGGGCACCTTAAAAAGGAATGCAGAAAATGGAAAAGGGAACAGTCAAAATGGAAAAGAGAAGAACATAAAGAACAAAAGGAGACTGCGGTAGTAGCATCTAAGGTAGAGGACTTATTGCTTATGATGAAGCACTTGCTAGTCTTTCATGCCTGGATACTATATAGATAATCGATACAGTAGCGTCTGTTCATATTACTCCACGTAGGGATTTCTTTTCATTATATACCAGCAGTGATTTTGGTTGGATCGGGATGAGAAATGAAGCTAAAGCTAAAACCGTTGTCATGGGGGATGTGCAATTGGAAACTAGCAGTGGCAGCAGGTTACTTCTCAAAGGTGTCAAACATGTTCCTGATATGCGCTGCAGCTTGAGTTTGTTCAGAAAGCTTGATGAAGAAGACTACCATAATCACCTTGGAGATGGCTGTTGGAAACTGAAAAAAGGCTATCTTGTTTTAGCTAGAGGGAAAAAGACTAATGGTCTCTACAGAACATAAGCAAAACTTATTCATGGATAGGTGAATATTGCTGACAATGAAGTCTTTACTAAGCTATGGCATAAGCGACTTGGTCATATGAGTGAAAATGGACTTCAAGTTCTTGCCAGAAAGAAGATCCTACTCAATGTGAAAGGCACATCACTTATACCTTATACTCATTGTCTAGTTAGAAAGCAGAGTTGCATTTCGTAGATTCTCTACATCTAGAAAGACTCACATTCTTGATTTAGTTCACACTAATGTCTGCACAATGCTAAGTAAATCTCTAGGTGGTGCATTGTACTATGTTACGTTTATTAATGATCACTCTAGAAAGGTGTTTGCACATTCTCTGAAATCTAAAGACCAGGTGCTAGAAGTTTTTGAAGACTTTCATTTGAAAGTTGAAAGAGAAACTGGAAGGTAGTTGAAATGTGTCAGAGTAGATAATGGTGGTGAATTCAGAGGGTCATTTGAAGAGTACTGCAAAAGATATGATATTAGGCTTGAGAAAACTGTTCCAAGACCCCACAACAAAATGGGGTGACACAGAATGAACAAGACTATTTGTGAGATAATCAGATATAGGCTTTCTCATGCAAAATTGCCTAAGCATTTTTGGGCTGAGGCAATGAAGACAGCAGTGGACCTGATTAATCTTTCTCCATCAATTCCTTTGAAAGGTGAAGTTCCACATAGTTTTTGGAAAGAGAATGATATATTTCTTAATCACTTAAGAGTCTTTGGTTGTCGAGTATCTGTTCATGTTTCTAAAGATGAAAGGTCCAAGTTTGACAGCAAAGCAAAGCAGTGTATCTTCTTAGGTTATGGATATACAGAATTTGGGTACAGTTTGTCCATCCAGTGAATAAGAAGATTATCAGGAGCAGAGATGTTGCTTCTTTGAAGATGAAACCATTCAAGATTTGGATCAGACTAAGAAACCAAACACAGTCAATGAAGAACAAATCAGTCCAGTTCCACATGTACCTGATCCTGTGGTACATGATGATCACAGAAAAAATTTGCAAGAAGAACATGACGCTATAAGAGACAGACATGATGAGGCCCCTGCACAGGATAATGCAGAACTAGATCCAAATCA